CATCAGCAGCCTGGATCAAATCTCCACGCCTAGCCCAAATCCCCAAGACAAATCACAGCACCACTTTCACTCAGTGTTTGCTGTGATCCTAGCCCTATTCTGTTGTTGTTGTTAGTGCCATCGAGTCAGACCCAACTCATAGCAACCCCTCCTTGGGTTTCCGAGGCAGTATCACTACAGAAGTAAGTTGCCCCATCTTCCTTCTGAGCCCTATTCTAGGCATAATAAAAGCCATCTTTGCCCTAGAGAGCTTGGGGAATAACAGAACCCTACATTAGCAACTGGGGAACAAATAAGACCACAGGCAACTGGGTGTAAGAGTGAATAATTCCAACTCTGGGCACCTTTGGTATCTGGAGAAAGGGCTTTGGGTTGGGTCAGAACAGGCTTTGTGGAGATGACAGATTTGAGAAGAGGCTTAGAGGAGATAGAGGATTTAAGAAGAAGTTATCAAGCAAAGCTGTCCAGGGTTGGGAAGAGCCTGTATAGAAGCAGGATTGATGTCCTGCGGTAGGCAGAGCATGAAGGAATATGTTGGGGAGGGGAAGAGATGACTGGATAGGCAGGGTGTGGCCAGCCTGATGAGTTTGACTTATATGTAATAGAGAGATACTGTAGACTCTCAAGCAAGGCATGGCTAATGAGAGCTTTGTTTGAGGAAGGTCTCATGATGGCATCACAGGGCAGGGGCTAGAGCCCCAGGGCTGGGTGGGAGGTGGAGGGAGTTGCTTGAGCTGCCCAGTGGTGAACTGATGAGAGCCAGGGCCAAGGTCTGAGCAGTGGGGATAGGAAAGAGGTAGCCAGAGGAGATCTCAGATAGAAAGATGCAACAACACTCTTTCTTCCTTGATGGGTTATCTTGGGTAACCAGGAGCCCTTCCAATGTTAAGGGAGCCTCTTCAGACTGAATAGGATTCACAAGGGCTTCGAAGCTGACTGTATTCAGTTCTTTGAGGTCTGGGATTACTTGATTAGGTCTAGTCATCCTTGAAAACTCAGTTTCCTTGTCTGTAAAGAGATGGGATTGGCCTCTGAGAGCTTACTGACTTAAGGAGGATCAGGAAGAAATACACTCAGGGGCTGGGGAGCATACAATGTGAGGTTAAAACACCACACTTCTCCAAGAAGGAAGAAAGATAGATGAGTTACAATACCTAAGTCATGAGAAGAAAGCTAAGGGGAGGCTCCTTGCTAAACTGTGGTTCTGAGAGTTGACCCTCAACGAGCCCCACTGATCTCTCAGTTGGAGAAACATGTCTCTCTGAACTCACCCAGGCCTTCTAGCCCAGCCTGCTTTCTTATTGAGAGGTCAGTTCTGCTCCCAGGAAGTTGAGCTTCCAGCCTCTGGAATGTTCTGATCCATGGACCATCCCACTTGAGGCTAGAATTTCCCAGACATGTGAGATAACCAGACAAGGTGTATGTGTGTGTGTGTGTGTGTGAGACTGTCCTTTGTATTCAAAAATGAGGACGCTGCCAGCTGTGATCACTAGATCACTATCTGAGTGTGGGAATGTGGAGACCAAGCACAGGCAACAGCTCTCTGCCTACTGCGGGCACATGTGTGCCTGCACACACTGCCCTTGTGTTCCACTCTGGCTGCAGCTGCTCATTCAGGACCTGGAAGGGAGTGTTTGGAAATGTGTGGGGGCATTTTTGTTAGTCATGATTATTGAGAGGAGTTATTGACATCTAGGGCCTGAAGGCCAGAGGCACTAAACATCATGCCATGCTTGGGACACTCTGTACAATGAAGAGTTGTCCTGCCCCAAATGCCAAGGGCATCCACATAAAGAAACTTTGTACCATTCAATCATAAATGGAGATACTCCATCATTTGGTCATAAAGCTTGGCCCAACTCTGGGTGCTCCAACTGGGCAGATCATACTTCTCCATGTTTATGAAACATATTTAAGCCTGTTCTGTGGCTATGAGATGAGATCAAAGTAGGGCTCTACATACTGCCTTGTACCCCTTTCCTGGGCTGCCCTGGCTTCCTGGGTTTATCCCCCTTGTGTGCCAACCTGGTAGCTCCTTGAGGTATGGCTTGAGTGATGTAAAACCTTTCCACCAGCTTCTAGAGGCAGCCTGTCTCCCATCTGAGTGCCAGAGAAATACTCGGTACCCACTGAACAAACACTTACATCATGCATTGTCCTAAGCTCTTCACAAACATTAATTCACTGAATTCTCAAAACAACCCTGGTTACTGGATACCACTTTAATAACCTCAGTTGTCTAAATGAAAGAACTGAAACACAGAGGAGTTAAGTAACTTGCTCAAGGCCATGTGTCTGGCATTTGGCATGGTCAGGATTTAACCCAGGCAGTCTACCTTCTGGGTCCATGCTCTGACCTACCATGTCTTTCTCTACTGTCAGTGTCAGCTCAGCAAGCTTGGTGAATGCACCTGGATCTCCAAGATGGCCCTGCCACTTCAGCCTTATGAAAGAAAATGGGGAAAGGCTACAGGCTTCAGCTAGATCAGGTGGTCTGGGCAAGGAGAGTTAGGGGCTCAGTCTGCCTTATCTGAGCCTTGGAGGGTCTGGGTAAAAGATGAGTCCAGAATGAGAGGAAGCATTTCTCCTGCTTCTCAAGGTGCCAGCAAAAAGCCATGGTGAAGGGAGACTGATCCACAGCAGTCCTCCACCATCACACTTAGACATCACAGCCCACCACTACATACGACACAGGAGCTGGGTGGGGTTCCCAGGAGTGGGCGATGCCACTGGGGTGTGGTTGTGGAGGTGCTGGGAGATGCAGTTCCATGGGGCTCCTTACCTCCCCACCACACCCACTCCCTGTGGGCTGCCCACCCTTGCTGAGACTTGGCAGGGATTCAGCTGCTCCTTTTCCCAGCACAGGGAGCAAAGCCCAAGCCTCAGTCTTAATCAGCATGATCACATTGTGCTGGGTTTGGGCCAGGACAAGTATTTGGGCTTTTCATCAGGTGTCAGAGATGACGTCCAGGAGTGTCATTTACTGAGAACAAGGGAGCTCCTTGTGTGTTTCCATTTAAAGTTACCCACTATTCGGGAACGCTTGGGTTGCCCTCCACCTTGCCACCTGCACTTTCCTTCCCCTGGGAAGTGAGGAGGGTGTGGCTACTGTCCTAGCATTGGAGACTGATGGCATATTTGGCATGTAATCTGCAAGATACATATTCCAGGTCCAAATGCTCAGAAAACTGCCCAACTCCTCTTCCCTCTACCTTGTTATTGTCTGCTTATGCCTCCCCCAACATCCACATACCAGTTCCCTCTGGAGTAGGTAGGTTTGACCCAGTTTGGGGGAGACAGTTATGCCTGCCTGCATGCACAGCTGGGTGTGTGGGTGGAGGAGACAAGCGTGTGCCATTGCCAGGGTTAACAGTTTGTGGTTTCTGAGTTTTGGATGCCATTTCTGACTGGTAGCTTGATATCCAGTCTTCCTGGGAGCTCAAGCCATCGGTGGTTTCCTGTTTTCTAAAACTCTTCCTGCAGAGATGAAAGGGGACCTGACCAAGGCTGGCCCCTTCCCAGCCTGGTGTGGATAGATCTGGTATGGAGGGGAATTACCCAGTTGCCTCACCACCTCCCCTTAAGCACACACATATACACTCACTCATGAGGTGGGCAGGCAGGCTCTGGGCTGCTGGACTTGGTCTTGGCTCATCCTGGGAAAGGTGAGCCCCAAGCCAGCACCTGTGTGGAGACATTTTTTTAGGCTCGACGTTCATCCTCTAGTCTAGAACAAGTCAGAGCAGGCTAGTCCCACCAGCCTGCAAGCTCCTGGGAAAGTCAGACCGTTCCATACCAGAGCTCATTCCCACTGAGTCTCCAGCTTTGCAGATGCTTTCTTCCCAGGGAGGCTGCCTCTTAGTTGGGTTCACATGAAGCCCTGTGGGCATCTCAGTGTCCGTTGTGTATTGTGCTGTTGGACTAGTCCTCTGTCCACCTTTTCCCCCTCTAAGCCTGACAATAAAGCCCATGGAAGCCCTTATTGGGCCCCATCGTCCAGGCCTCCATCTGCTCCCACGTGTCCAGGTATACCCAGAGCAGAGAGTTCTGGTAACAGAAAGTAACATTAGGGTTCCTTTCCCTCTGGCTTTTGAGGTCTTGTCACCATTTGCTTCTTACCCTGGCAGAGGGGAGACAAGTTGAGGGATATAACAAAGTAACAGTGGAAAGCAGCCCCTGGGTGGTAAGAACAGTTAACATGCTTGGCTGCTAACCAAAAGTTTGGAGGTTCAAGTCCACCCAGAGACACCTGAGAAGAAAGTTTTGGTGATCTACTTCTGGAAAATCAGTCATTGAAAACCCTATGGGACACAGTTCTACTCTGACACACAGGGGGTTGCCGTGCATCAGAGCCAAATCAGTGTCAACTGGTTTCAACAGTGGAAAACAGACTTCAGTCAGACTAGGAGGAGTGCACTGAGTGCAGGTGGCTGGGAGGGATCGCTGTGTTGGAAGCAGCTGGTATCTGGGAAGAGCACAGATGAGGGCTTGGAGACATTAGCTCAAGTCCTGGTCACCCTCCCTGAGTGACTGTTGGAAGGCCCATCTCCTTTGTGGACTGCAAATTCCCTTCCTTGACTATGCTGGTATGGGACCAGATCAGTGACTGTCAAACTTCTTTGACATAACCCACAGTAAGAAATACACTCGGCATTGCAGCTCATGTTGTTTCACAAGACATCACTCATGTTTACTACTTGCATTGTACTCTGATACTTTGTTTTACAGGAGATTTTATTATATTTTTTTAAAATGATGGTCACAATCCACTGAATTGATTTTATCATCCATAATGGGCCACAGCCTGCAGCCTGAAATTAATGTATCTGATGATAGCTAAGGTTTCTTCTGCTCCAAACATTCTGAGATTCTGGAACATTTCCAGTAGATGATGCAGAAGCAGGATTGTGGGGTTGGGGCAAGGGCACTATCTCCTGTGGCCAGCTGGACTCTGGGATTCCTGGTCAGCAAACTGAGCCTTTTTCCCTTTCCTTGCCCAGATCTACAATGGGACCCTCAAGCGGGAACCTGACAATAAGCGTTTCAGCTCCTACAGCCAGATGGAGAACTGGAGCCGGCACTATCCCCGGGGCAGCTGTGCCACCACCGGTGCAGGCAGCGACATCTGCTTCATGCAGAAAATCAAAGCAAGCCGCAGTGAGCCCGACCTCTACTGTGACCCGCGGGGTACCCTGCGCAAGGGCACACTGAGCAACAAGGGCCACAAGACCACTCAGAACCGCTACAGCTTCTACAGCACCTGCAGTGGCCAGAAGGTGATCAAGAAGTGCCCCGGGCACCCACCTTCCTGCACCTCCAAGCAAGATCCGGTGTACATCCCGCCCATCTCCTGCAACAAGGACCTGTCCTTTGGCCACTCAAGGGCCAGCTCCAAGTGAGTGCTTCTCGGTGGAGGTGGGGGGCCAGGGGGTGTCAGGTAGGAGGCAAACCTTGCAACTCTACAAGGGGGCTCCCAGGAGACCATGGCTGAGACACAGACTCTGCCCTCGAGGAGTTAATAATTCCTGCCCTTGGGGAGTCCCTAGCTTGATGCATCCCTGGCCTCAGGAGGCTCTTAATGTGAAGGATGAGACAAACCCAAACACTGAAACAAATATGTTGCATATGTGGGTTTAAAGGATCACAGGTTATGAATACCAGACTCACTGCCATTGAGTTGATTCTGACTCATAGTGACTTCCTTTGGGTTTCTGGGGTGGTAAATCTTTATGGAAGTAGATTACCCAATCTTCCTCTATAGAGTGGCTGGTGGGTTTGAACTGCCAACCTTCTGATTGCAGTCAAATGCCTTAGGCACTATGCCAGGTTATGAGTTTATCTAGGCCAGTGGTTCTCCAACCGTGTTCCCTGAACCACCAGCCACAACATTACCTGAGAACTTATTAGAAATGCTAATTAGTGAGCTCCACCCAGACCTACTGACTCAGAAACACTGGGAGAGGGGCCCAGGAATCTGTGTTTTAACAAGCCCTCCAACTGATGGTGATTCACACTAAATTTGGAAAACCTCTGATCTTGGGCATTCATATTCTGAAAGAACAAAGGACTGTGCTTTGGTGTGGAAGATGGGAGAGGAGGGCACACTCCACGCAGGTGGCTTAGAGCCAGGATGTTATGAGGGACAGTGGGCCTGTCTTCAGGGCTCAGAAACTCATACTGAACCCATTGCTGTCAAGTCAATTCCAACATATAGCGACCCTGTAAGAAGCAGACTGCCATATCTTTCTCCCATGGAGCAGCCGATGATTTCAAACCACTGACCTTTTGGTTAGCAGAAGAGCACTTTAACCACTGCACCACTAGAGTGTCTTAAGAGACCCATAGACTTTATCACCATCTAGTGATCATTGCTATTCATTAATTTGACAAGTATTTATTGAGCATCTACTATGTGCCAGGCTCTATGGTAAGTACCAGGGATACCAGCCACTAACTGGACAGACCAGAGCAGCCCTGAAGCAACAAAAACTGCCCCAGGAACTTTGCATACTCAACCTCTTAATCTTCCAACCCCTTGGGGGCAGGTTCTAGTATTCCTGAGGAGGAATCTGAGGCACAGAGACGTTCAGTAGTTTTCCTGAGCTCACACAGCTGACATCACATTCTGTACTCTTCCCTACTGGCACCACACTGTCCTGAAAACAAGAAGAACCCCATTAGAAAGCTGGACCTCTCCTGACTATTTGAGGCCATAAGGTATATTAGGATGATTTGGAAAAAGACTAAAATCTCCCATCCTTTGAGACTGATCAGGACAGTGTATGGCCCTCACTCATTGCCCCCACACCAGGCTCTGAAGTGTAGGTAAGACCTCTCATGGAGGGATGGGTGACTGGCCATTTAGAAGTGTCTTATGACTAAGGCATATTTGATTGCTAACCAGAAGGCTGGCAGTTCAAACCCACCAGCCACTCCTCGGAAGGAAGATGGGTAATCTACTTCTGTAGTGATACTGCCTCGGAAACCCAAGGAGGGGTCACTATGAGTCGGATCCGACTCGACAGCAGCGACTTTGGTTTTTCATGACTAATGAATGCAAATAACAACAAACAACAACAATGAATGCAAGGTGATGTTCTCTCAGTGTAGGGCAAACCAAAACCAAATGCACTGCCATGAAGTCAGATCTGACTCATAGCGACCCCTCCTTGGGTTTGCTAAAAACTCAAGACCAAGAAGCTCTGCCCTGGGGTGATTTTTCTAGATTGTGGTTGGCTTACCAAAGCTAAAAACCATGAATATTTGTTGAGCATCTACTATGTCAAGACGTTAGGCTAGTACAGATGAGGAGAGAGCTTTTGCTATAAATGCTGGGAGGACACTGGGCAAGGAAGACTGGGTGCCACCTAAGGGTCTCCCCTCCACCCTCAGAGAACCTTCAATCTCTATTGGAAACCAAGACACAGAAGTGTGAAAAGGCAGCTTGTGTAAATAAGCACTGTGGGGGGCAGAGAGGATCAGAGAAGAGAGTTTCCCTTCCATGGGACATCTTCACAGAGGAAGTGGGACTGCAACAAGGCCTTACAGCACGAGTAGGGTCACATGAATAAGGAGGAGAAGGGAATACATTCTAGACACAGGCACACCTGAAACCTGATCAGGGTACAGTGAAAAGGACAGGCTTGCTGGCATGAACTCTTGTTGGGGGCTGGGGAGTATGTGAGAGGACACAGGGAAACCAGAGTACTAAGTTAAAATGTATGAAATTTCTGGTTATGTGGTTTGAAAAATGTTGACTATCAGCCATTTCATATGGTTCAAACTATTACATGTCCTTGAGTATCTGTCTAAGTAGTTTGAACTTGAACTTGCAGTATAGGAAAGTCACTGATTTCTGAGCTGGGGAACAGCACAAAATGACCAGAGTTCTAGGACTCCAAGTCTGGTAAAAGGGCATAAAATGTATAGGAGAGCTTGGGAAAGAGAGCCAGTTAGAGGATTGTTGCTGCAGTGCCCACAAGATTGATCACAGTCAGTGGGAAGGTGATAGTTGTGAAAATTGGAAGAAAGGAATGGATGTGAGAATTTTTGTCAAAGAAGAATCAGACTTGAGGGTAGATGGGTGGGTGGGTCAACGGATTGATGGATGCATGGATAGATGAATAGGTGGATGGGTGGGCGGTGGATAAGTGGATGGATAGACGAATGGATGGATGATTGAATGGATGGACAGATAGGCTCATACCCATTGTCTTCCATTTCCCAATACCAAGCATAAATAGGAGAGGTGATAGTGTGGGTGGAGAGCTTCCTCTCAGTGAATAGCACAGAGTTTTTTTCTCAGTGCAAAGGTAACTCACCTGCTTTGGTATTAACCCATGACCAGGACCTCATCACAGCCAGACTTTTCCCTCCTCTGAAGGAGTTGTTCCATGGGGTTGTTCTCCAAGTGAGCCTGAGACTGCCTTGCTCTAGCTCTTAGAAGGACAGATGAGACTGTGGCACTTATGTGTGCAAGGGGGAATTCTGAGCCTCATGTCATGGATCCCAGCCTACCCTGTGGAACCTACCTCTACTGCCCTGTTCTTCACAGGATCTGCAGTGAGGACATTGAGTGCAGTGGGCTGACCATCCCCAAGGCTGTGCAGTACCTGAGCTCCCAAGATGAGAAGTACCAGGCCATTGGGGCCTATTACATCCAGCATACCTGCTTCCAGGATGAATCTGCTAAACAACAGGTAACTGGCTGCCACCCTCCTCCCTAGTAGGCCTGGGCAGAGTCTGATGGTGTCAGCCCGACTCTGAATTTAGAGATGGATGGGAGCATTTGCAGTTGGCACCTTCTCACCCTGCACAGCTGCCTGGAGCAAGGAATGTACTTGGCATTGCCCAAGATCAAAGCTGGGCATCTTAACCCTCCATGCAGAGCAAAGCCCCCTGGTTGTGTGGATATTGCCCCACAGATATGGAGCCAGGTGTGTTTTCTCCGTTGAATATGGAAAAGACACTTCAGTGATAGCCACAAATTCAATAATCAAAAACCCAATGCCATTGAATTGATTCTGACTCATAGCAACCTTATAGGACAGAGTAGAACTTCCCCCCTAGGATTTCCAAGGCTGTAAATCTTTATGGAAACAGACTGCCTCATTATGTCTCTCACAGAGCAGCTGGTGGTTTGAACCACCAACCTTCTTTCTGATTAGTAGCCAAATGACTTAACCACAGTGCCACCAGAGAAACCACCTTTCTCAAACTCCACTAAAGAACATGGCTTTCTGCTCCTTTCTCTCTCTCTCTCATCATATCAGGACTCCTCTCATCAAGCATCTCTGGTATAAACATGGCTTTTCTGTGCCTCTCACATTTGACTGGCAGGGAGATACCCACAGGGGTCTGCCATTCAGTCCAAGGCCATACTGTCATAAATGTATTTCCTAGAGAGCCCAAGACTAGAACCATTAGGAGAAAGAGTTTCTTGGGAGGGTCACCCTTATGTCTGTGTTTTGCTTTAGGAGTTTTAATGAGTATTTGTGTTCATTTTCTCATTTGATCCTCACAACATACTCCAGAAGAGAAAAACAGGGTTCAGGATAGAAAATCACTTTCTGATGCACCCCTGCCCCCAGCTAAGATGTGAGGGAGCGGTGATCTGAACCCATGTCTTTTGGCTTCTGGTCAGAGTCAATTACCCTACTTCATACTGCTTTTTAATTTTTTTCATAACTTTGCCCCCTTTATGCTCTACGATCATGAATATATTTGCAACATAAGTAGCTATATATGTAGAAACATCCTTTGTCAAACTTACATATATTCATGGGTGTGTTCTCATTTGCCTTCCCACACTTGTTCAGCTTGTGTGTCTATCCACATATCCACTCATAGATTATTGCTGTTACTGTTGTTGCAGGATTGTGTGTGTAATAATACTTATCTCTGTTGCCTTCAACTCTTGTGCTTCCCCCAGTTCACACTGCTTATTGATTTTTGTTGACTTGGATGTTTCTAAACTGAAAGACGATATTTTTGGTCTGACAAAAAAATCCAGTTTGAGTAGAGGATTATTAGATTCACCTTACCTCCCTTAACTGGACAACATGGCGACCTTGTTCTGGCAGGTCTATCAGTTGGGGGGCATCTGCAAGCTGGTGGACCTCCTCCGCAGCCCCAATCAGAATGTCCAGCAGGCCGCGGCCGGGGCCCTGCGCAACCTGGTATTCAGAAGCAACACCAACAAGCTGGAGACCCGTAGGCAGAATGGGATTCGTGAGGCTGTCAACCTCCTGAGGAGAACCGGGAGCACCGAGATCCAGAAACAACTGACTGGTAGGGAGACCTAGCCATGGAGAGACAGGGAGGGGAGCTGCACAGGATGCTGGTTGTGGCCCCAAGCTGGGTGCAGGGCAGTCTTTAGGGCTAGGCAAAGGCACAGCTGTGCAGATTTGAGCTCAAGGTAATATCCTGGGATGTTAATGGCACTGGCTTTGGCCAGGTTAGTTGTGTCAGGTGGTGACTCTGGGAAGTGTGCATACCCACAGGAGTCAAGGTCTTATTGAGGATAGAGCGCAAGAAGAGGAGAACTAATGTCCAGGCAGAGCCCATATTCAGCAGGCTTTGGGATTTGCAGGTGATGGGAAGAAACTAAGGAGGATAGGGGCAAGAGGTAACAGGTCTTGAGCACCTACCCTGTGTCTAAAAAACCAGGCTAAATAAATGGAGTAGGGGGCACAAGAGATAGGAGTCAGCATGAGAGACTGGAATTGCACTGGGAAGATGAGACCATGTACAGAATAACAATTGATAAGTAACTCCTAGAATGACTTCAGGTAGAAAATAAAGAACATTGGAAGATTCTGAGTGCTACAATTTATAGTAAAATCATCCATCAAATGTCTTTTGATCACTTTCTAAGTCATAATTTTGACCTCAGTAGAACACTCTAAGGAGCTCTTGTGGTGTGGTGGTTATTGCATTTGGCTGCTAACCAAAAGGTCAGTGGTTTGAACTCACCAGCCGCTCCTCAGAAGAAAGACAAGGCAGTCTGCTTCCATAAAGAATTACAGCCTTGGAAACCCAATGGGGGTAGCTATGAGTCTGAATTGACTCAATGGCAGTGAGTTTGGAATTTAAGTTTGGAGCACTCTCAGATGTTCCCTACCCTTAAAGAGCCTATGTACCACCTGACTGGGATGTTGAGAAATAGACTCATGAAACAGTAGGGCAACAGATTTGGTAGGCCAGGCCTACCTGGAAGGTGACATATCAGTAGGGCCCAGGCTGGAGGTGGTACTATACTCCCTGGGGTCTTCCTGAAGCCACATTCATCTGATTAACTGTCCCCAACCCCCAGGGCTGCTTTGGAACCTGTCTTCCACCGATGAACTGAAGCAGGAGCTCATTGCTGATGCCCTGCCAGTTTTGGCTGACCGTGTCATCATCCCCTTCTCTGGCTGGTGTGACGGCAACAGTAACATGTCCCGGGAGGTGGTGGATCCTGAGGTCTTCTTCAATGCCACGGGCTGCTTGAGGTGAGAAAAGAGGACAAATGGGGTCATCCTTCTCCAGCCTTGGCCCTTCCCCAGGCAGCCCCCTCACAGTCAACACGCAGCCAGGATAGAGAACATAACCTATAACCTGGTGCAGGCTCCCAGACACAGGGATTCCAGGCATTCCTCTGGTGGCGTAGCCCCTAAGGCATTTGACTGCTAACCAGAAGGCTGGCGATTCAAACCCACCAGCCACTCCTTGGAAGGACAATCTACTTCTGATAGAGTCATCACCTTGGAAACCCAAGGAGGGGTCGCTATGAGTTGAATTGACTGGAAAGCAGTGAGTTTTTGGTAGACCCGGGGATGGCCTTTGGAGGGAACACAGCTGAAATTACTCAGTAATCTAATAGTAAAGATGCCTGGATCTGCATATTTATACTGGTTCAGCCATTTCCCCTTCTCCCACCCCTGAAAAAATGCATTTCCTGTACTATCTTGAAGAGCATTCTTTTAGACAAAAGTCTCCTGATTGGCTGCTAATGAGTCACTTCCCTGTTATGGTGCTAAATCCATTTGCCATGTTGGTTGGCATGAAGATGGCCCTTCTTTGCCCAGAATTTCCTGAGTTCCACAGCAGGGTGTGGCAAGTCCCTGGGGGGCTGTTGAAGGCGGGAATCTTTCTGTGCTCATTCTAGTAGCACAGGGGTGGGATAAGTGCGGTAGAGGAGGGTAGAAGGGATCAGTGGAGCAGGGCCCCTTTAGGATCTCTAGTGGGCCTTGTCATCCCGAACTCCTAAGAACCCCAGAGTAGGGTCTGCAGTTGGCACACGCTTCTGTCTCAACTGTGCTTCTCCCTGAAGCCTCTGCCAGCCTTCAGCGGCAGCCTCCAGGGAACAGGGAGACTGGGAGATGAAAAGCCTGTGTAATTAAGGACTTTATGGGGCTGCAGGGTTGCTGGGGGTGGGGGATGGGGTGGAGAACAGCAGCCACACCCCACCTGTACCAGGTAGATGGGCCCAGATTTCTTGGGAGAAAGCCTACTGCCAGGAGCAGAATACAGCTTTGGTAGAAGGCCCATCTGGTCCCCAGCCCAGCCCCACCTTAGCTCTATTCCCCATCCAACACCTGGCCTCAGCACCCACAGGGCTTCTTCCTGCCTCACCGAGCCAGACAGGAGCTTCCAGCCATGCTAACAAATGCCCATTAGTGGCAGATGTGTGCCTTGAGCACCAGCTTCAGCAGAGGCACTGGCAATCATAAAGCTACAAGCTGGGGATTGAGTGGCCAGAACCAGTAACCAGCTGCCATCAAGTCAATTCTGACTCATGGTGACCTCACATGTGTCAGAGTAAAACCATGCTCTCCAGTGGGTTTTCAGTGGTTGATTTTTCAGAAGTAGATTGTCAGGTGTTTCTTCCAAGACACCTCTGGGTAGACTTGCACCTCCAACTTCCCTGTTAGCAGCAAATGCATTAACTGTTTGCACCACCCAAGAACCACCCAGAAAGAAAAACAGAAAAGATCTGGGTTCAAATAGGACCCTAGCTCAGCCTTCCCCATTACCAGGAAAAATTAAGCTAACTGATTTTTCTTTCCTTTCATCTTCCAAATTTCTTCTTTCCCCTTTGCATCCTTTTCTCCCTTTCCTCTCCTTCTCCTCCCTTCCTCCTCCTACCACAACCTCCACCCCATCCTCTCTGTGATCTGCTCTCTTCCCTTTCTGCACCCCCAACTCTCTCCTCTCCCCACCCTCTCTGCTGTCTCCCCATTCTTCCCCACATCTTCCCTCCTTGCTCTCTCCTGAAGGAACCTGAGCTCAGCAGACATAGGCCGCCAGACCATGCGTAACTACTCGGGCCTCATTGATTCCCTCATGGCCTATGTCCAGAACTGTGTGGCGGCCAGCCGCTGTGATGACAAGGTGAGACAGTGGACCCTTGGTGGCACCCAGCAACCCCAGCTGCAGGGTCAGCACCAGCCCCAGCCCTCCTCTTCATCTAAGTTCCAAGGTCCAAGGCTTGCCTCCAAATAGTGAGGGAAGCTCCTTGGACTCCAGACCCTGACATTTTCTCTCCCAGACTCCACGAGTCAGGTCTGGGTAACTTTGAAGTATGGCCAGGTGCCAGGACAGGAGCACAAAAACTGGGACAGAGTGGAGGAGGTGTCTGAATATGGGTTCTCTGATCCTTCCTGATGGCACCACAGTGGTGGTCAGCACTGCAGGCTCTGCAGCCAGTCTGCCCAGTGACAGTCCTCTCCCCTTCACCTAGAAGCTGAGCAGCTTACTCTCTGTCCCTCAGCTTACTCTTCCCTCAGATGGAGGTGATCATACTTACATGTGCCTTAAGAGTTGTTGGAAGGGTTGGATTAGTTAACACACCCTTAGCAGAACACATAGTGGAGTGTCTAGCACAAAGCAATTTCTCAGTGAAGGTCTGCTGCTGGTACTAGTGGTGCTGAGCCCTGGAGAATCCACACTAGTGCTCAAAGGTGGCCTCCATGTCCTCCCCAAGATAAGATGGCTTCTACTGCTGCTCTCTTCCCACCACCTATCAAAAGAGCCATGAGGGTGACTGTGCCCCCTTTGGAGCTTTGAACACACTGGCACAAACAAATTGATAGAAAGAGCATGGAGTGAACAGAAGCTAGAAGCTGAGATATTTCCACCAAGGCAGGGCAGTGACCAAGAGTGAGACTTTTAGGAATGGAAGGAGTGAGGTCCAGAGACCCCCACATCCCATAGAAGTGGCTGGGCATCACCAGTGCATGAGTTCTGAGCACAGTGTTCCTGTAGAGGAATTTTATCCCTTGGTTCCTCCACTAGGAGCAACAAAGTGGCCTCGGGAAAGAGCTCTATCACTTAGCTGCTCAGTGTGGCCCCAGTGTGCAGCGGTCTTTTCTGCTGTGTGGAGCATCTGGTATGACTGAGTAACCTCAGGCCCTGGAAGTCAAATTCCCTCAAAATTCAGCAGTGGCCAAACCTCCTGAGAAGGATAAATCTGCTGCCCTCCAAACCCCAGCCTGTGAGGTTGACCAAAGGAAAATGGCGGATCTGCAACCACCTGTCCTTGTGAATTACTGAGTCCCAGTTCTCTTTGTTCGTGTGGACTTGGGATGGGCTAGCATCTTTGATATTGACAGTCAAGGACTGGCTGTGAAAAGAGGGAATGGTAGGGGCATTGGGGTCTATATGGCTTCTGAACCAGAAGCTACTGGAGCTGCTGAAGGAGTTTGTGCCAAGAAGGAAGGCAAGTCCTTTAGTGCCTTAGTCGGCCCATCAGAACATGATCTGTAGCAATAGTAACAGAAGCCACTGTCTGTTGAGTCTTTATATGTGCTATGTGACCCAAGACAAGTACTTTCCGTATGTAATCCTCCCAATAGCCCAATGAAGTAGGTGGTTTAGTCCCATTTGACAGCTGAGTAAATTGAAGCCCAGAATGGTGAAGCAAGTCACCTTTCAAGGACACATAGCCAGGAAATAATAGAGCCAAGATTAAAACCCAAGTCCCACTGGGAAGGTGTGGTGGGTGCCTTGTGCTCACCTCCTCCCTGAGCAACCTGAGGTGGCTGCCCTTCTCATGGTAGTTCGAGGGAGGGAGCCCAGAGCCCCTCTAGAGCTGGGCAGAGGCTCAGGCACTATGCTTCTGCTCATCCCCAGTCCGTGGAGAACTGTATGTGTATCCTGCACAACCTTTCCTACCGCCTGGATGCAGAGGTGCCCACCCGCTACCGCCAGCTAGAGTACAATGCCCGCAATGCCTACACAGAGAAGTCCTCCACTGGCTGCTTCAGCAACAAGAGCGACAAGATGATGGTGAGTGCTATCCTTCCGCACAGCCAAGGCCGGGCCCCACCAAGCACCCCACCAGGCCCTTTACTCTCTGCCCTCTTGGAGCCTGAAGGCAGCCATAGGGTACAGGCCTGCCCCAAAGCCTTGGCTCAGGATCATCTGCACTTCAGGGAGCTGGGTAGAAGGCATGTCCATCTTACACATAGAAGGGATCTATGTTCTTGAAATCGTAGGAGCACAGACCACACCCGAGATCAAAAGCATCAGCCTTGTGTTGGAAGGCCTCAGTCTCCCTTACTGTATAATGGGTAAAGCCTTCCTCTGTCTTCTCCCTCACATTTAAGGATTTAGGGAGAGCCAGAACTGTAACCCCTCTCTAGCCATGGTTCCTATGGCCTGCTTTCCAGATGACACCTGAGCCCTTCCAGGATTCCCCAGAGGTAGAAGGGTGCTATGGAGGGAGGATCAGACTTCCTCTACTGGGGGCAGCATGCTGGGCACCCCTGTTGGCCCAGATAGGATCAAGCTCAGAACCTGACTTTGGGAAGGAAAGATGCATCATGGCGTGAGACTCCAAAGCAGCCTCTTCTAGCTGGAAGGTTTGGACAGAGGCTGCCCTGGACCACACTTCCTGAAATATCCTCTTTGCCACCCTTGGACACAGTCCCAAGGACCATGGCCTTGTTCCATGGAGCTGCTGCAGTGTACAGAGGACAGGGGGTGCAGCAGGGTAGTTCCTAGGCTCCCTGCCTCGGTGACCATTCTTCACCCAGGAGGCTCTTCCCTAGTCCCTCCCATCCAGGAACCATGACCCTGTGGTTGGAGAGGGGGAGGCAGAATACTTGGGCTAGGCCCTCCTCTCACTGGGCTCCCCATTGACATGCTCTTTGTCCCCAGAACAACAACTATGACTGCCCCCTTCCTGAGGAAGAGACCAACCCCAAGGGGAGCAGCTGGCTATACCACTCAGATGCCATCCGCACCTACCTGAATCTCATGGGCAAGAGCAAGAAGGACGCCACCCTGGAGGCCTGTGCTGGTGCCCTACAGAACCTGACTGCCAGCAAGGGGCTGGTAGGAGGGGCCTCTTCTTCCCCCTGTGGCTTTCCCCACTTCTGCAGTCACAGGCAGGGCTCTGCTTCCATGAGCCTATCCCCTATCAGAGTTGTAGCAAATGCATACGGGCTTCATTCTGCAAACGTGTAGAGCACCTGTTACATGTGAGGCTCTGCACTAGGGACTGGGGAAACAGTGATGGAGCAAACATATCTCTGCCCTTTAGGAATTCATGGGATGTGCAGTGGGAGGACCCACTCCTGTGGATTGTCTGTGCCCACAGAATTCCCTTTGCCTCGTAGTTCCTGCTAGAGTATAATGTCCACAAAGCCCATGGCCTTCCTGGGCTCTGAGCCTGGAGTCGGAGACAGGGGTGAAAAGTGTGTGTCAGGGGGAATGTCTCAGTTTCCTAGTGCTGCTGTAACAGAAACACCACAAGTGGTGGCTTTAAAAAACAGAAATGAATCTTCTCACAGTCCAGGAGGCTCGAAGTCAGAATTCAGGGTGTGGCTCTAGGGTAAGGTTCTTCTTTGTCTAATTCAGCTTCTAGTAGCTGCTGACAATCCTTGGCATTGCTGGGCTTATAGATGCATCTGTCTCTCTAGATAGAACGTCTTCCCCCTTGGTCTGCATGTATCTGTGTCTAATCTCCCTTTTTATAACTCAGAAGTGATTAGGTTTAGGACTCACCCTACACTGATACAGCCTCACTAATGTAACAAAGAAATCCATATTTCCAAACAGGGTTATGTCCCCAGCTATAGAGGTTAGAATTCCAACACATATTCAATCTGTAACAGGAAGCCTCCCATTTGTTGAACTCATTGGGATGAAAGTAGAGGGTTTATGGTATAGGTAGGTCTAGAGGAAGATGTGGCAGAATCAGTATAGGTTTTGAGGTCAAGTACAGTTTGGAGGGCATGATGATATGGGGTGGAGCCTTAGGAAAGCCGTTTGCAATCCAAGAAAGTGTTATATGGGAGCTGTTCTTTATCTTTACTTAGGACAAGAGGGAACTGGGCAACACCAGAATAAGGGTGAATGAAGAGTAAAGAGGAACTTCCCTGACTGTGGGAGTAGGAGGCTAGTGGTCTTCCAAAGAAACCAAACGCCAAACTCACTGCCATTGTGTCAATTCGATTTATGGTGACCCCTCCTTGGGTTTCCAAGGTGGTATCTCTATGGAAGTAGATTGCCCAATCTTCCTTCCGAGGAGTGGCTGGTGGGTTTGAACCACCATCCTTCTGGCTAACAGTCAAATGTCTTACTTACTATACCACCAGAGTTCTGTCTTAGATAACTCCAAATCAGCAGGGACCAGATTAGGCCCAGAGTGGCTTTGTTGCTTGCTTGGAGATCCAGATGAACTGACCTACCTCCAGGCAACACTGGATTATATCTCCCTCTAGGCCAAGACCCTCTCTGATCCATCCTTGTCTTGGTCAAGTGTTCAATACACATATATGGAATTCTACTGAAGCAGGGAAGTTGGAAGGGGTCCCTGGGTGGCACAGTTAAGCACATAACTATTGGCTAAAAGTTTAGCAGAATATCTGTGTGAATACACCTAGGGGTGCCTCAGAAGATAGACCTAGAGGTCTATCTTCTGAGAGGTCACAGCCTTGAAAACACTACGGAGTAGTTCTACACATGGGTTGTCAAGTAGAAATTGACTCAATGGCAACTAACAACAAGTGAGAAGAAGATGGTCAGATCTTCTGTAATTGACAAATGTTTTCAAGCACATGGTTTCACGTGAGCACACTGCTGGGAGAGAGAAGTAAGGGAGATGGAGCTGAGACAGAAGAGTGAGGAGTGAGCACACCTGAAAGTTGTTTCTGGGTCACGCACAAGTGAGCGAACTGAGGCTTCTGTCTTACCACCATCTGGCCTCCAGCCTCCCCCAGGGAGTGGAGATCAGGATCAGGAAAGGGGGAGGTGTGTTTTAGCCTGGTGTTCTGTGGTTTTCCCTGTGTGAGCAAATTGTTGTCTGTCTCTGCTAATGCTTCCAACACAGAAGAGAAATAGTTCCAGAATATCTTTGTTAGGGATTATCTGCCCCTTTTAGGCCCTTCCTGGTGCCTGGGAAGCCACAGGCAAGATTCTCAGTCTCCTTCCTTCTTAGATGTCCAGTGGCATGAGCCAGATGATTGGGCTGAAGGAGAAGGGCTTGCCACAGATTGCCCGTCTCCTGCAATCTGGCAACTCTGATGTGGTGCGGTCTGGAGCCTCCCTGCTGAGCAACATGTCCCGCCACCCAGTGCTACACAGGGTGATGGGTAAGTGCCACCTCCACGGTCATCAAGACCACCCATTTCCTGCCTATCTAGGGGGGAGGAGCCCTGTTAGAACCCCTCAGCAGAACTTTCACTCTCCAGAACCTGCTAGTAAGTGTAGATCTCTAACTGTGCCCTAGGTGAGCATTCTAGGAGGGGAAGCTGGCTCTAGAGAGGCTTAGAGGTAGAAAGGGTTAGTAATCTTTGGGAAATCGGGAGCAGATTTGCAGAGTTTGACTTGAGTCTCAAGGCCCCGAGTTAGAGCTGACATTAGCCCTGGTGGGCTGCCTTGCTCAGAGCCTGGGTGAGGGCAGCAGAACCATGGACCCAAAGGGAACCCTATAGCCCTCTTTCCCTAGGTCATCCTGACACCATACCATCTACTCCTTTTTTCTCCCAGGGAACCAAGTATTCCCGGAGGTAATCAGACTCCTCACCAGCCATACTGGCAACACCAGCAACTCTGAAGACATCTTGTCATCTGCCTGCTACACCGTGAGGAACCTGATGGCGTCCCAGCCACAAATAGCCAAGCAGCACTTCTCCAGCAGCATGCTCAACAACGTCATCAACCTGTGCCGCAACAGGTAGCATACTCCCTCACCCTGCTCCATAGCCCTCCTCTCCCTGAAAAGCAGGCCAAAACGAAGAGCAAGAAATTGTACATAGTGGGGGGGGGGGGGTTGGGGGGGTTGGGGGGAGTGGTTTCTGCGAGGCTTGAATGAAAGAGAAGTTCAGGAAGTGCAGTGGAGCTAAGGGTCCAATATCTCAGGGCTGCACAGAAGGGATGGAGACAGCTCAGTTTGTGGCTGGGGCATAGCATGGGGCACTGGATCCTCAGAAGGCCAGCAAGAGGCATGAAACTGTAGACCCAACTGAATGAGAGCATTGTTCTGCTCCATGGGGCTCTATCCTCCCAGAGCAATGGCTGGGGACAGGAGTGGGAAAGTACTTACCTCCAGTAACCCCCCAGGAGAATCCTGAGTGCCTCTAGGTAGGCAGGGGTGTGAGGCTGTACCCAGTGTGTAGACTGACTAAAGATCACCATGACCCAATAGAAATCCCCTCTCATGCACTTCTGGGGTCTCCAACATCTCCAAGACCTGGTAGTGAGGGTGGGAGTGTGGACAGTGCTCCATCTCACGCCCCACCAATGAACTTCCCACCCTCCAGTGCCTCCTCCAAGGCTGCAGAAGCTGCCCGACTCCTCTTGTCTGACATGTGGTCCAGCAAGGAACTGCAGGCTCTCCTCAGACAGGTAAGAGCCCATACCACCCATTCCATCCTGCTGGACTATTTCTGCACTTCCCCTGCACTGAAGGAAGGCCCAGAGGATCAGAAAGGAGAGGAAGACCAGCTGGTGAAACCGAGAGATGGAAAAACAAATGTTCATAACAATGAATGTGGCCAAAGTTCTGTGCAAATCTCTAGGTGTTGGGATCTAAGAGGGATGCTCAGCACAGAGTGCTGACAGAATCAAGGAAATGTGTGGGCGGCCTGGGGGTTAGTCCTGTAGAAGCAAACTGAAAAGCAGTGTTGATAAAGGCACACCATTCATTCGGGAGCATGATGTAGGCACTGGCTGGGAAGGTAGGTTTAGGGTGAATTACAAAACTCACCCCTTTGATTTCATAAAAAGCTTGGACTTTTGCCTTTGGCACTGGTGAGGCATTGGAGCCTTTGAGTTGAGGGTTTCATGATCAAAGCAACAACCTAGACAGACTAATTCCACCTCAGTGTGCAAGGCAGAGCAGACTGGGAGATCCCAGGGGCTGCTGCATTTGTCCAGGTGATGTTTGGCTCCTATCTGTTCACAACACCCCCAACCTCACCAGTCACAAAGTCGTCTATCAGATCTTGTTTATAAAATCTCTTCCCATGGTCCTTCTTTCCCATTCCCAGAGCAGTCATTCTTTGAACTGAGAGGTAGGCACCTGTAAGGATGGGAATAAAGGGCGGGAGGCGAAAGAAATGGAATAGTAGGACTGACGATTGCTGGAGCATTGATCTTGGTGGCACTGTGGTTACATTAACAGGAACTGATAATGTTGGGGAAGGGTCAAGAACGCTTCTGAGGGGAAGAAAGAGAAGTTCCAATTTGGAGCATTTGATCTGAAAGAATTGGATAGAGTCCAGGCAGGATGTGACTCGGGGCCTTGGGAGCTGCCATACAGATTGGAGCATTGTGCAGATGAGGGAAGCCATGAGAGCAAGCAAGACCATCATGGGGCACATGCCCATGGAAAACTCTCGAGGGACAAGGGCAGAAACATGGAGAAGACCCTAACCTGGGTGCTGAGGAGGAGGAAGGACCAAGAAACAGGCGAAACTACAGAAGGCCAGGAGGGGGTTGAGAAGCTTTTGAGTAGAAAAAAAACTCTAAGGAAGGGTGGTCAGGGGTCTCCAGTGGTGCTGAGAGGGCAAGGAGAAGGGAAACCAGAGGAAGGGCTGAGCCTCTGAGAGCATGCTGGCAATGCTAGGGGAACACGTGGAGCCTGAGGCGAGAGGGAGGCAGTGGATGGGCAAGGGAGGAAGAGGGGGACTCGCCTCAGAGATAAAAGAATGGATAGAAAAGGACCTGTTCAAAGACGGAATAAGTCTGAGCATCTTTGTGAGAGGAGAGGGAATAGTCGGAGAAGGGGACAGTGAAGGGGATGGATGAAGGATGAGGAAGAGGAGAACTAGATGGGTCTTAGAGCAACAAGAGGGGCCTGGTCAGGTGGGGGAGGGGAGGGGAAGATGGCCCACCCTGAGACAGAAGGAAGGGCAGCTCTTCCTCCCAACACATCAAGGGAGACAGGGAGGCCCACAAGGCCACTGTGGTAAAAAAAAAAAAATGATTGAGAAACTGAGGCCACATAAATAAGTGGCCTTTGCTCTCCATTGACAATCCTGTGCTCTTTCCCTCAACACTACAGTGAGGGTGGGATTGTCCAAGAGAAGGCCAAGTAGGCGTGAGGCAGGTAAGGAGGATGGGGTTAGGGTCTCCTCAAGCTCTCTGGTGGTGGTCCAGAGGATTCAACTCCAAAATACAAGCAGAGAGCACGCCCAGCCTAAGACATGCATAGAGAAACCACTTACTGCATTGTGGATGTGAATTCCCTCCTGTGCAGTGCCTTTGGGAAAACCAGCTTCCTCATTCAACCTTCTCCCTCTACCTGTACTTGACAACAGCCTGAACATGCTCTAGGTCAGTGTTCCTGTCCCTAAAACGTCTTCCTATCCGTCATTCGTTGGGTTGTCACAAGCACAGGTGAGGCAGGCCTGCCTGGCTTATGTCCATTTTGCAGAATAGGGAGCCACAGTCCAAGAAGTTTGAGTGCAGTGATTCTGTGAGTTAGTGCAGGAGCTAGGATGAGGACCCAGTACTTCTCACTCCTGGACACATCCCACCAAATTCAGCCAAGCTCAACAGGAGAGAGCAAGCAAATCTGCAGGGAAGGAAAAATGGCATCATGCAATCCATGCCCATACAAGACAGGAATGGGGCTTTGAGCCTGTTGTTGTTTTGGATTCTCTGTGCTGTCTCCAAAAAGCTTTGATGCAGTGGTTGCTAACCAGAAGGTCAGCAGTTCGAACCCACCAGCCACTATGTGGGAGGAAGAAGAGGCAGTGTGCTTCTGTAAAGATTTACACCCTTAAAAACCCTATGGGGCAGTTCTACTCTGTCCTATAGGGTCACTATGAGTCCTAATTGACTCAATGGCAGTGGGTTTGTTGTTGTTGTTGCCTTCTCCCCTCATGTTCCCATGGCCTGGCAAGAGCCAGCTTGCCTCCCTGTGCCTCAGAGCTCAGGGCTAAGGCCAAGGGTGTCTTCTCATGGCACTTGGGCCCATTGGGGCTCATATTATGCTATTCTTAGTCACTCCAAAGCATTTTTTGAGCACCTGATGCATGCTAGGAAAAATAACAGGAGTAAGATGTCAACTCTATCAGCAAGAGTTCAGGATCCAGTTGGACTGGGGCAGAAGCCAGACAAGTGAACAGACCCTTCTAGCACAATGGCTTCCCACTTCCAGCACCAGACCCTGCTCTGATGTTTGAGAAAATGCTGAGCACAACCTCCCTGGCCAGAGCTTTTATCAGGATTAAAAAAAAAAAAAAAAAACTCACTGCCACCAAGTCGGATCCGACTCATAGCAACCCTTCCTTGGGTTTCCAAGGTGGTATCACTACAGAAATAGATTGCCCAATCTTCCTTCCAAGGAGTGAGTGGTGGGTTTGAACCACGAGCCTTCTGGTTAGCAGTCAAATGTCTTAGGCACTATGTCACCAGAGCTCCTTATTAGGATTAACAACTACACAAAAGATAGGGTCAGTCAGAGGGAAGAACAACCAATAGCTTCTCTAATCCGAATTTGATGGTTGTCTTATTTCAAGAATAATGAGTGCTAGCCTCAATCCTTATGCCTTGATGCAGCTGTCTGCAAATGAAAATTCAAACATGTTGATGGAAGTCCAAACATGTTTCACTAACCCTTGGATATCAACAGCCTTGAGTGTGGTTGCACATTTGACTAGACCAGTTTTAGCCCTGACACTCAGACATGGTGGTCAGAGAACATCCATGTCCAGAGGGCTCGGTAGAGTAGCCACAGACTATGGTTCACTCTTGAGGATGCTCTGAGACAGAAATTTTGGCCCTGCAGGAAGCTCCACTCTGTTTCATCCTAGAATAATGCATGCGCTTGATATTTCTCCCCTTGCAGCAAGGCTTCGATAGGAACATGCTGGGAACCTTAGGTGGGGCCAACAGCCTGAGGAACTTCACCTCCCGATTCTAAAGAGAGGCTGTCCAAGCAAGTTCAGCTTACAGGTAAGAATCAGCCCAGCCCCAGGGCAGGGGCACCTCTGGGACAACAGTAATGGCCTCAGTAGGTTTCAAAGAGAGAGGCCAGGCTTGTGCTCCCAAGAATGTAGGCAGTTCCTTTGTCCTGGGAGACACAAGGCTGCAAGGGTAGCTGTGTGGACTGCTTGACCAGAAGTCATGGACATTAGGGATGTGCAATGTCTTAGTAGCATCAGCAGGGCCAGAGGTGCATGCAGGGCTTCTGAGTACCACCATGTAGGTTGTGTGCTGCACAACCCAGGCAGTGTCACCCACATAGACCATGGTGTGAATGCCCTCCACCCCTGGAGTTATACAACATGTCATTCTGGGTTTGGGTGTCCTCAGTTCACATTCTTAGCCTTTTCAATCCACTTCGCAGCCTCTGCACATGCCAGTGTGGACAAGCTTATTTCCAGCTGATAACTTAGGGAACAAAATCTCAGAACCAGTGTCTGTGACAAAGGCTCTCCAGGCGTTCATTAGAAAAACCTGGGAAGCTCATTAAAATGCACGCTCCTGACCCCAACCCCAGGATTCTGACTCAGTAGTTCCGGGATGAGGTCCAGGAGTGGGCCTTTTTTAAACAAGCATCCAAACTGTTACTGAGGCAGGTAAGCCACGGATCACATTTAGATATTCAAAGCAGACATCGTCTACCCTAGAGAGGGTCACCAAAGGCAGGCCTGGTATGGAGCCATCTGTAAGTAGCCAAGAATGAGAACAGGGCCTCTGAGCTGAAAAGGCTGTCTCAGTGTCTCTGGATCTCTGCCAGCCACCACCCACACCAACGTGGGGACCTGAGGAGGGTCCTGGTAGGGGAGAGGGCTGTAACTTTGGCCCCAATGAGGATTAATAAGACTTCAGATGTCTTCTCCTGGCAGATGAACTTCAACATGACAACAGACTGAATTTAACAGATCCTTCATGAGCTCAGTCCAGATGCTTAGCACTGTGCCAGGCACTGTGTTGGTGGAATGGAGTAGGCAGGGGATGGCAGCTGGGGACAAAACTGACAAGCCTTTGAATCAACGTGAGCAGCCTATAAATTCATCACAGGTAGTCCTGAATCCAGTCTTAGGCCCAACTACACCTGAGATGTGGGCAAGAAGGAGGTGGCAGCCTTGACTTGCTTTACTGGAGTGGAAGCATCTCACTGAAAGCTAACTTAAGGACTTCTCCTTTTCCAGAACTGGTGACCCAGAGGAGAAGACCTCAGGCCTTGCTGGATGGATTATTCTGTCCACACTGTGCAGTATTTGGAAATGTTCAAATGCAACTGAGAGCAAACCTGAAAACTGCAGATGATGGAAATATTTTTTGATTCTTTTTTTTTTCCTTGGGGGAAATGACAGGCATTGGGGGTTGGGAGGGTTGGGAGGGGCCTTTCTTGAGTTAAAGGGGCTTAAGTCTTATGTCAATACTTCTTCTCTGAAAAATGGCATACATATATGTGTGTGTGTATAATGTAAGTGTGTGTGTGTGTGTGTGTGTATGCATGCATGAATGTCTAAAAGAATGACCACAAACTGTAAAAAGCTAGGCAAGCTGTTTTATTGCAGCTTATACGGGGGTGAAAAAGACTGTCCCATGTTTCTTACTCATAGGCAAGTATGACGTGCTTTTTGATTAGCTGCCCATAGTTACTAAAATATATTATACCAGAGCAGAGGGTCCTCCTCAGGGTCAGATCCACAGAGGAGTCCCATGGGCCCCCTGTTTGCTGTCTCCTGGGGGGGTGGGTGGGAAGAAGAGTGATCAGGGCTGGGGATAACCTCCCCCCTTATGAAGCTGCTTTGCAGGAAGGGAGGTTGGCAAAGGTATTGAGGTTCAGTGTATCTTGTGGGAAAATCTAGTGTATCTGATAAGGCCACCTTCCCATAGTGCTTCCAGATCTAGGGTTAGGCAAGGTGTGAGGCTCTAGAAGATAAACAAGGATAGTCACTCTGTTTTCAGCTATTTGAGGTCTGTCCTGGGGGGTGAGTGGAAGCCAGAGAGATGGGCCTTCTGAGCAGGGTCAGTCTACAAAGCCCCTGACTTCAGGAGGCTCATCAGCTACCTGCTGTGCCTCCTTTTCTGCAGAAAAAAAAGGCAGAAATAGTGCTCAAAGTCAAAGAGCTGTTCAGAGAATGTCTGTTTAGTCTTCACAATCCCAGTGGAGAAGGGAACAGGCTGGAACTGGGCATCGCCCTGTCCCAGCTTCCAGTGGACCAGGAGCTGACTCAGGAGGTTGCTTCCCTTCCCACCTGCATGCCTGCTAAAACTCAAGTAAGGGAGAGTTTGAGTCCCAGAAGACTTGGAGGAAGGGAACTTGGGTAGAGCAGAACAGAAGCATCATGCCAAGGCTCAGCAGCTCTCTCCCCAGCTGGAGGCCTGCCCTCCCCTGAACCCCAGCCGTCCTTGTCTCCTCTGGGGGAAACTCCAGGAGATGCAATAAAAGAGGCCCAAAACCCTAGTCTCTTGTGCATTTCAGGTGAGAAGTGGTGGAAGGGCCTCCAGGGGCCTCATCAGGAAATGTTTCTATGTAAATAGCCTTTACTATGTGTGCTGTAAAATAGAGCAGAGCAGAGGGTCCCCAGGCTTTCCTTGTTTCTGCCTCTGCCTCCACCTCCAGTGCTAGCACTGTTGGGATTAGATAGGAATTAACTACCATGGCCGAGATGGATTGACACATTGGCCATAACAATGGGATCAAATGTAGCAACGATTGAGGATGGTGCAGGACCAGGCAGTTTATCATTGTGTTGTACACAGGGTCACTGTGAGTCAGCACTGACTCAGTGGCACCTAACAACAACCATGGCTGTATCCTTCTCCAGAGTTTCCTCATGCCTTCTCCTTCATCCAGGTCTCCTCCCCTTCTGTATCACCTCACTACCCAACCCCACTTCCTACCCCAGCAATCTGAACTGAACAATACCGTCTGGACTCAGGATGTGCCTACCTACTAAGAGATGTGACAGCTGAGTTGAGGGGGAGGGATGGGCAAGGCCAGATATGCAACCACATCGTTCCCTGAGAGGTCTCCCTGCCTTTAACCAAGTGCTCTCCCCTCACTCCTTGCTCAGGATCAAAGGCCCACTCCTGGCTCACATCTCCTCTCAGGGGCCCATGTAAGCGTAACTTCTCTTCCAGTCACCAGGATCCAGAGGAATGCATTTCTCTCCACACCCCCTTGAGTTGATCTCAACTCATAGCGACCCCAAGTGTGTCAAAGTAGAACTGTGCTCCATAGGGTTTTCTTTGGACTTTTTATTGTGATTTGGGTGAAAATTTACAGAGCAAATTCATTTTCCATACAACAGTTCATACACATTTTGTTTCATGGAGGAATGCATTTCTTAAACAATATTTACTGAGCGCCCCCATGTGCCAGGCACTGTTCTGAGCACTTAAGATACATCAGTGAGCAAAAGAGACTGAACCCCTGTCACATTCTCATGACGGGAAGAGGAGACGCAGGGTCTTTGGCTTTAGCGATCCCCCAGTCTGAGAGGACTGGCCAGTCCAGTCAGGGCATGAGGGAAATAAACCATAACAAGAGAGATTGCCACAACCTGAAGGGCGGCACCCCTACTCCTCAGCACTCCCCTGACTCAGCAGGCCCAACCTTCTGTTATAGGTGAGGGGCAGCTTTTTCCAATCTCAGCGGGCTGAGGTGGGCCCTTGGGCCAGCCCTGATTTTAATAACCTCTCTCAGGCTGACCAGCTGGACCTGTCACCCAGACCCCTACCCCCTGCCTGTCACTTTGGAAAAGGGAAAACTGAGAGAGGTTTGAGGATGCATTTTCTGGAGAAAGGGAATAAGAGGTTTGTTGGGCTTTATATATCTGAGATGTGTTTCAGTATTTTAAGCCTGCTCTCACGCTATCAGGGTTGACACCCAAAATGAAATGTTCCCATTTGAGGCCAAATGAGGAAAGATACAGACCACTATTGTCTCTCCCCATGCCCACCCTGATCCCAGGGTCTCCTAACCTGAGTTTAAAACAAATCCAGTCATTGGCCCCCAGCAACCTCTCCAGTGGGGTCTCAGGAACCCAAGAGGCATCAATGATGCTGCTCTTGCCCACTTCTGACCCTTATTAAGAGGTAGGATGGCAGGTGACCAAGTCTGGAATTGTGAGATAGTCAGGGGAGGAAACTTTGGTGTCACCATGAGGTATCTTGGAGCCTACCCACAGTTCATCCCACCTTGCTTCATGTTTGTAAAAGAACCCTATGCTGGCTGGGCCCAATTGCCCTGTGTGATGTACTATGTATTTGCTTTGTTGGAAATAGAGGAAATCAATAAATTGCTGGAACTTCTTTGAATTTTTTTAAACAGTGGATTATTTGGGGTGCTATTGAGGAATTGGGGGCTGCTCACTCGCTGCTGGTTTCTCCTCTTAAGGACCCTGTAACAGGCAAGGATTGAGATCACACATGAGGGAGAGGGTTACGCCATCCCTGCACACCTGCTCTGTATTAGCGCATTTGAGCCTCACAGTAGCTCAGTGATGCTAGTATGGCCATCCTAATTTTACAAGTAAGTACAGTGAGACTTAGGAGGGAACAAATATGCCCAATGTCACACAGCTAGTGACTGGAAGACCACCCCAGTGTGAAAGCTCCCCACCCCACCCCACCCCCAAGGTAGGGTACCTTTGGGAAAGAACTTCAAGGAGCTCATGTGTATGGGATGTGTGCTCCATCTGGGCTCTGCATCAGGCACTGTTGTTAGCTGTCATCGTAGCCGCCCCCAACTCATGTTGACCCCATGCCCAACTGAACAAAACGCTCCCCAGTCCTGAGCCATAATCTTGATGGGTTACAGATTGGACTACTGTTCTCTGTAGAGTTTTCATTGGCAGAATTTAGGAAGGAGATCACCAGGTCTTTCTACCTAGCCCATCTTAGTCTGGAGACCCTGCTGAACCCTGTTCTGCACCAGCAACACACAGGCCTCCACTGACAGATGGGTGGTGGCTTCCCATGAGGTGTTTGACCAGGAA